AACGGGTGTATGACTGGCTGATGACTGAGTGAAAGGCTTAAATGATTGACTGATTGGGTGTCTGAGAATGTACTGGGTGTCTGATTGGGTGTCAGAAAATAGACTGGGTGTCTGAGAATGTACTGGGTGTCTGATTGGGTGTCAGAAAATAGACTGGGTGTCTGAGAATGTACTGGGTGTCTGATTGGGTGTCATAAAATAGACTGGGTGTCTGATGATTGACTGGGTTTTTGATTGACGGCTGCCTGTATCTCATAGATCAACACTGAATCAACCTCCTCCTGTGCTTGTGTCACGTGACTCRCAAGCTGCCTTAGAGAACTCAGGCTACGTTTGTCGCCTTGAAGTGTYGGCTGGTTACGCCAAGTGCTATCCATGTGCACCAGGCAGTTTYAAACTGGGAACTCGCTGCATGGAATGTCCAGTTGGTCAGTACTTCTWCAATCAATAGACCATTTTCAATTTCAGTACCGCTGTGTTCCTTGATTGCAGACTTACTTACTCAGGGTTAGCCTCGTATCAGTGTCTAAATATTCACAAATACTAACGGTAAAGTAAAGAATGCACAACTTCAACAATACGAACACTTTAACATTCCACGGACCTTCATTGGAAGACGTGAATATTTTATATTATATACGAAAACTAAATCAAGGCTCAGACCGAGTAACAGAGAACTCGWAACTGGAGTATCGKGKTTTTTCACCTTCASAMTTACTGAACTCTTCGTTTTTTCCAGGAGGGTTTTATCAGGACTCTATTGCGCAGTTTAAGATCTACCCTTATGGCAATGGTTGCCTGGAGTGTCCAATAGGYTCGTTTGTAAGCTCAGACGACGCACCAGGGAGAGCAGAGAGTGATTGTTCTGTTTGTCCACTGGGTAAGAAACCAAGTTTTAGAATTAGTTGCCTATTTGTCTGGGTATATGGATCCCGTCAATCATAAGACAAAACAATTATTCAGACAGCGTTGTACATTCGATGGATTGAAGCCAAAACGTTGGCCGGAGATGTCTTGTACGCAGACATGACAGACAGCAGCACAGAGAACCGGCCCATTTAAGATAAAAAAATAGCTTGCTTTCAAGTCGTGATGGTCGCTGTCAAAAGTATCGCGGGCGAGCGTGAGAGCGTGGCAATTTCAGGCCAAAATGTAAACAACGCCGATAGTGAGATATTCTTTTACCTATAAATGGGATTCCTGTCAAAAGCTGTAAGCATCCAATGAAAAATCTCTCGTTACGCATGCTGAACTTTTACAAACCGTTTTTTTTTTCTCTTAGGTACTGACCTTACAAGGAAGTCTGGGTACCAAGCTTGTCTATGTCTGACCAATCACTATCGACTTGATCGTTTTGGCCCCTGCCTGCAATGCACCAAGGGATACRTATGCCATAACGATTCAGTCAGTTTATTAAAKGGTTTCTAYTGGCACTGGCCCAGTAACAGTTCGCTTRAACTCTACAACTCTTTTACTGAAAATCTCCAAAGGCGCGGAGTTCTCTACGACAASAGTCTGRCYAAATACAATAGGTCTATTCCTAAAGCATATGCGTGCCCCATGGCTCATTCATGTATAGGAGGACTCGAGTCCAAGTGTRCGAGGGGTTATAAGGGYCCSCTCTGTGCTGTCTGTAGCCAAGGCTTTTACCATCTCATCTCAAGRTGTCAGGAATGCCCCACACTACCATGGATCGTAGCCCAGATTGTAATCATGTTCATAGTTCTTGTGATTCTCCTTGTGGTGGTTTGTTAYCAACGGAAACAGACAACTTCCTCTACAAGATCGACGTCTGACATGATACTTGCTAAACTGAAGATTGTCATAGGGTTCTATCAAGTGACTTCTGGAACATTGGAATCATTTACATATGTCGCTTGGCCACCTGCCATCATGACACTYGCAAAGTATGCCAAGATGATGCAGCTTAACCTTCTTCAAATTGTCCCTTTGGGTTGCCTGAGTGATTCTTTTGCYGTCGATGCGTATTCGAATCTTGCCTTCATTATGACTTTCAACGTATTGGTCATCGTTACTTGTGGGATGTACTTCTTAGTGAAAACACTCCTGGCTCTAAACAACAACCAGATTGAGGAAGATAAAAGGATCGTCGTGCAGAGGGAGACCAAAGCAAGCAGCTTAAGGGTTGCTTTCGTATTTCTGTTCATTACTTACCCATCAACTTGTGTTCAGATCTTCCAAATGCTTCCACAAACTTGCCATGAAGTTTGCACGGGACCTGACGCAAACAACTGCGATTCCTATCTGAGATCAGACTATTCGGTAAAGTGTAATGACGACAAGTACAAAAATCTTCGGCCTTTGATTTATCTTCTTGTTGCTTACCCTATTGTTTTTCCTGTCTTCTCTCTTTTYCTTCTTTGGAAGTACCAGCACAAAGTTGGAGCCGTCACAAAAAATACGAGCACCAAAGAAGACACCCAGGTCAACCTACCACGACAAAATGCAGTATCCATGGGATTAAGATTTCTTTACGAGAACTACTCAGATGAATGTTGGTTTTGGGAGGTAACAGAGCTGATGCGCAAGGTTCTTCTTACATCAGTCATGTCGYTRATGGATTCYGAAAGTCGTACCTACCTTGGTCTRTCCTCCATMCTCTCTGGCTTGTTCAGCGTATTCTTTGCCTACAACAAGCCCATTCCAGATTTGTTTGAACACTGGTTACAACTAGCGTCTYTACTGGCCACTAGTGTTAATATGACGGCCGGYTTACTGCTCAAGATACCTACACAAGAAACGACGTCAGGTCTGAGCGGGRAGATCGAAGAAATCGGTGTGACTGCACTTCTTCTGTTTGCCAATGTTTTTGTTGTTGGAATGTTAGTYGGTGAGTATCGGGTAATCTGAATTTATGGCAGGAGCTTTCAATTGTAWTGTTCGCGCGCAAAGCTTTCTTCTAATTGAATTTTGCGCACGATGATGCCTGTTTTTCTTGATATCATTTTGTACGGGGGATTGGGGAAAACTTTTTGCGGCAAGTGCTGGGTGATAATGATGTTACTCATAGGAGTGGCAGATCCAGAACGATTTCAAGAGGGATGGTTGATACCCAGAAAAGCATTACGTAGCGTCAATATTTAGGTCTTACGTTATCCTTTATTTTATTACTTTTCAACTTCAAAGGGGATGACAAGCTATCCTCCCAATCCATCCTCTGGATCCTCTCTTGCACATTGGTTTACTTTAATGGCCAAATACACTCCTACTTAATGTTTTGCCCATTTCAGACCACCTGTCACTCTCTTGAGAATAAGATTCTTCATTTGAGTTGAATCCATATTCATGTGTCTTGTCATGTGCAACCGTTAAACAAAGAAATGATACTCTAGGGAATGACATGTGGTTTAAAAATGGGAAAACATTGGATTGATTACAGTTAACTACTGTGAAAAACAAATGGATTATTCATTTGTATGATTTCAGCTCAGTATGTCGTATCAGTTGGACAAATCGCTTGGAAATTCAAAAGCAACCCTCGATGTTCTGTCGAATGCTGTTTCATGCTGTTTCTGACCCTCAACGAAGCTGGTGGAGAGGCTAGTGGAGGGAAAACCATCTCAGGGCTCAGTGCAGTRCAGTTAGAACAGCTTGATCAGATGGCAGTACCAACGATGGAAAAAAGGATTGACAAGCCTGACGAACTGGAAATGAAAGGCCCGAGTACCTCTTGTAGCCGTGTCGTTGATACTTCGGGTAGTCACGTGACGTCCATCAAGTAATTAATTATATAGCACCAAGACTTCGTCACTCGTAAAACTGGTGCATAAAACATTATGTTTGATCAAGAGTTCTTCATGGTCTCTTGGTTTGATTGCTTGCAGTAGTTGCATAATCCTATGTATTGAACAAATATAAAGCCGGCTTTGTTATGCATGTCGTTATACAGTATTGCTTTGAGGATAAAAGCAATGTTATATAATCGATAAGAAACATTCTAGACCTTTAATCACAAGATTCACAATCAAAGCTCAATATTGGAGAAGAATTTATCTCTGCTTRCTACTGTATTCTGAGTGCCATGCCGTACTAGCTCATACTTATACTGACATATATATAACAGCTGATACGAGAGTACCGRAGATTCTTTGTTGATGTTTGTTGGATATGGTGCCCCATTACACCCCACATCCAGTTCRTYCCYTCCCCCTTAGGGYRAGCGTTCTCATACCTCTCATACCCAATGGTTTTCAGTGCCATCTGAAGCCGTTGAGAAGAGCGAATGTTGAAAAATCCCACTAAACGSCCTCAGACTGCGCTGAAACTGAACTTCACCAGAAGACGGAACAAGGYACAAGCAACGACTGTAGCAAGTTTTGAAGCAAAWTGTTAGTGAAATATTTTGTAGTTGCTTCATCGTAACTCCAAAGCATRCATTCCCTTAAAAAAAACACAAAAGCGCGCACTACCCTTTCTTCCCAAATTGGGTTCCCTGTGTTGTCCTCTTTCTTCTCATGGGCTTCCTTTGTCATCCTGCGAGGTTGTTGTTGATGATGTGGTGTTTTGATTTTTACATAAGTATTTTAGCGATTTTTAGTATTTTAAAAGTTTATGGAACTGAATCCAACATCACATTCGATGAGAATGGATATATTTTGTATTGTCCGTGTATGGGTAAGTCTTGATTCTTTTAAAAAAGTTGTAGATTTCGTAGAATTTTACGTTGCTTTTATTTGTTGGGCGTCATACGAGGGGATTTAAACTTCGCGATTGATAACAATGTACTGTTCTTTTTTAGCTCTAAATGTTTAGATCTAAAAAGAAAAAAACTTYATTAGTAAGAAAGTCCACGGTTAACAATTTTTTGGTATGCTACTTATTTCTTTCTTAGACTTCTGTAACTCCTTTCAGTCGAAGGCGATTCGTCAAAATCTTATCATTTATTTTGATCAGTTTGAAGAACTTTATTTAAGAGCTAGAGTACTTGTTTTTGCTTTTGTAGGCAGATACGGCAATCAAGCAGAACATTTTCTAGGATCAATAGCATTTGCTAAGGGACTTAACAGGACTCTAGTCCTACCGCCTTGGCGAACATATGTAAGTATATCTACATATAATATCAATATTATTTCTCTAGGCAGCTGTAAAAGTATTCTCTTTGATCAATAGTTGAAGTTCCCTTACATGTATGTCATACAACATCATAAAACTTTAATTATTTTTAGTTGTTTGAGTTTTTTACTTTTAAAAACAAAGTATTATAGCACATATATAATTCATAGTTTTATTTTATTTTTATTTTTATTGATTTCTTTTAATCTTTCCCTTGTGCAGAAAAATATAAAATTTTCAGAATTTTTTGAGGTAGCTCCTCTGCAAGAATATCACAGAGTTCTTTTGATGGAAGAATTTTTAGAAAAAATAGCTCCAAAATATTGGCCTGTTGGGAAGAGAATAGGTTATTGTTGGCTGCCACCTCAATCTACTGTTAAGTGTACTCTCAAGGTAATTTTACGATACAATACTACCAAAATCACTCAACTCTTTGCACAACCAAAATAACGATCAATCACAAATTGAATTTTAATTTAAGTCACATGACTGATCTCTCTAAATGGTCACATGAGTTAACCGAAACTCAAAATGCAATTTGACCGTTACTAAGGCGATGCTAACAGTCGAGTGATTGAGTCATTAGTATAATGTTATTTATTATACTCATTGCATTCTTCTGCTTTCATGTTCATTATTGCAAGTCTCATCTTTAAGGGTACTTGGACTTCGTTTGGTGAGGAGGTGCCATGGTAACCGGTCACACTCTCTCTACCAAGCACCCTTGGTCGAGATGGGTCATTGGGCTRTGGCCCAGTTGCCATGGTTACCTCCTTGCTGGGGGTTTTCTCACAAAACCGGATCCAACGTTGGTACCTAGCCCAAACTCATCAGTCGATGAGTTCTAAATGAGGCTAGATGTAATTTAGGCAAAGTTAAAACCACGACTGAGCCTGCGGCTCAATACTTAAGCGGCTCGTCCTCTTCAGGCATGTGCCTTGCTTGGGGCGCGTTTGCTGCTAGCTAGTTTGTATGCCATCTTTGCAGCGAAGGTTTTGCATAGAGATTCTTATGTGTACAAAGAACCTCTATTCATTATTATTATTACTATTATTATTACCACTCTTTTCAATAAAGTTAGTCTCTTCAAAAAGCTAGATCAATTTTGCAGTACTTTCCAGTCAAATGTGAAATCCTACAATTTTTGGGTTTTGTTTGAAGTCAATCAAGGCATTTCTAGAATATTCAATAGGCACATACCCTTGAAAACTTTGTGGTTTCCAAAGAAGAGAGTAAAGGGTGCACCTTCAAGTGCTTTATACATGGAGCCCTGGCTCGGGAGAATTGGGCAAACAATTGTTATTGAAATAGAATATATTCACTTTACCATAATTCCCCTTATAGGGGTGGGGTGGGGGTAAAATGGTGCAGTAGAGGTAAAATTGAGTGCATGCTTCACTCCTTCGTATGAAATAATAAAATATTTTCTTTCATGATTCCCATTTTTCCTATTTTTCATTCTTGCATCTTCTTGTTTAATTAACTGTAACTTTTGTTTGTATCATKCAATAATTGTCAAGGAAGGGAATCCATTCCAACAGTTTTGGGATGAGCTTGGTGTTGACTTTGATGGTTATATGTCACATCATCTTAGTTTTGATGTAGAAGATCCCTACACCAAGAAGGAATGGGAACTAGAGTAAGTTGATTATTGACCATTTTTGAGTTCATGGATTCTTACGTAATACTGGACCAAAATCGCTATTTAAAATAACCAGGCGTTACCSCTTGTTCAAAAAAGGTGGCATTTTTAAAGCATAGCCAATCGTTTTAAACTTGATATTCATCAATGGCAATCAAGGTACAGTAGGCACGCTGATTAATATTTAGCAGTAGTCACTCACCTCTCATCTGTGAGGGTAGAGGGGGCTGGGGACTGGGAGGGGGACACTGAGATGATTTGCTTGTTACAAACAAGAAATCTGATTATGACCACCCATATTTGCATACAAATTGGCCCCATTGTTTTTTATACTGCTTAATGTAATAGTGCTGTACCACTCAAATTGCTTCATGAATCCACCCCTTGGGCCAGATTTTTTAAAATGACCCCCTCAAATTTCACTGGCCCCTCGAGCTCCCCCAGTAACAAATGAATGGCCCCTAACAGCTCAGTTACAGCCCTGACTCTTGACTACATTCCCAAAACAGTTTGCTCAAGCACTAGCCATGCTTCTCCCCTTTTCCTTGATCACTTGACCACAACATAGGGCTCCCGTTGATAGCAGTAACTTTATTACTGAAGGGAATACCCTGTTTGAATAAAGGTTTTCATTCATTCATTCATTCATTCATTCACTTTACACAAATGATCATTTATTGTTACATTGCTAGGTTCCCACCCTCATCTTTTCCAGTATTAGCACTAAGAGGAGCCCCAGCTAGGTTCCCAGTGAATGAGGACCACAGACACATACAGAGGTATCTAAAATGGTCTCCTCACTTACTGAAACAAGTGAGTAAGCTGATCAGTGAACTTTTGCCTAAGGGACCATTTGTTGGTATTCATCTTCGTAATGGATTAGACTGGGTAGGTATGACTGTGTGTTTGCTAAGCTGAGCGACATATCCCTAGGTCTAAAACCCTTATGTTCTCACGGACACTCATACCTTAAAATGGAGCATAGGTGGTGAGATGGGGTAAAGTGTGCACCGGCTGCCGTGTCCTTATTAAACCAACGCTGGCGTTGGCTCAGCTGGTTAAGGTATTTGTTGGACGAGATGTCTTAGGTACCAACCCTAATACCGGACCAATACAAAGGGTAAAATAAATTCAACACTGAATACAAGCACATTTCGTATTTGCGTGAAGGACGTGAATAATTCAAGGTAGCCGTGCCGTTACCGTGACAGGATTTTCATTGGCTGAGCATTAGCCATGTGATGTATGATGTATTTCACTGGGAAGCACGGGTGGTGTGCGCTGCTTATGCATGCCAGGGTTTTATTTTCCTCCGGGTAAGATTGGATTTGATTGTTTCAGAGTATGTCGGCACTTACGTACGAGTATCATCGCGCCGTTTCAGTGACGCGCGCAAAATCTGCCGCCTTAATTGCTAGATAAATCACTCGAATGATTTACTTAGGTATAACTTAAGTTAAATCCTCCCGCAATATTAATTCACATAATTTTACCACTTCTTACAGGAGAATGCTTGTATGCATGTAGAAGGGCTGCCTAACTTCATGGCATCCCCACAGTGTCTTGGCTACTCCCAATATCGCAAACTTAACAAAGAGATTTGCTTTCCTTCGAAAGTAGAAATGTTGAACCGAACTAAGGCAACGGTAGAGAGGATCAAAGCTAGTGCTGTGTATGTTGCTACGGATAATGAACCAATGCTCTCAGATTTGAAAGCCACTCTTTTGGAGTATAAGGTATACATGTACAACTGAAATGATGTACTTTTTTATACTTTTGTTGCTTTGCGAGAGAAGCACATGTAATAAGAAATAGCTAACAAACCTGTGGCCGTCGTTCTGCAAGGGCAGATCAAGGATTCTTTTGAGGGAGGATTCAAAACCTACACTCAATTAGTGATGTCATTTTTGATGTCATACACACACTATACCAGTCGTAGCGCACATACACCTACRTAAGAGTCATGACTTTCAATAGAAAAGGTTTACGATATCATAGTATCAAATTGAGCTGATCCTCGTAGTATATGAAGCAACTTATGCAGCTGCAAATTGAAAGACTCAGAATTTTTTCTGAGTCTTGAACGGGATAGATTAGTGTAAAGATTTTCTGTAATATATCGTATGTTAAAAAGGGGGAACGAGTTGCAAAGGGGGTCCAGACCCCTGAACCCTACCCTGGATCCGCCCTTGGACTCCTACAATGAACGCTCTTCAGTCGTGATAGTACTAAGTTTACTCTAAAAAAATCTGATTTATTCTATAAGTGTTCTCTGTTTTCTTATTTTTCCAGACGCACGTCGTTCATGCAAATCCTCCACTCCCTCAGATAGATCTAATTATCCTTGCCAAATCAGACTTCTTTATTGGGAACTGCGTTTCGTCGTTTACCGCACACGTTAAGCGTGAAAGAGACGTTAATGGTTTGCCTTCTTCATTCTGGGGTTATACTGAAAAATAGCAGCAGCAACAGCAACATCATCACTAGCAGCAACAGCAACATCTTCACTAGCAGCAACAGCAACATCTTCACTAGCAGCAACAGCAACAACAACAATACACCAACACAACCAACACCACCAACACTGAGCAACAACAGCAAGTGACAACAACGAACCAAACAAACTACAGCAAGAAATAAATAGGAACTAGCAAGAAAGGTGGCACACCTCCGAAGCACACTATATAGAATTCGTTTTCATTTAAAAACGCAGCAAAAATCACTAGCACATGGTAGAAAAGTAGGGGGAAAATTAGACAAGAATAAAAATATTAAATTAGTAATTAGAATTTGTCAAAAAAGGAAAGCGAAGCAGATTCGAAATAAACGTATTCAAAAAGGTCATATTACAGAAATGAGCTTGATCTTTAGAGTGTAGTAAGAGCACCAAAGGCTTTCTTTTTCAGCCACACAAATTACCGGACCGGATTCATGCATTTTTTATGATGGAATTCTTTTTTTCTGTATATCAACCAACACAGTTTTTCAATTCGTTGGGAGATTTCGATTTTACGGGGCGCAAACCGCTCTGCATAAGGTAATACAGAAAAACTTAACGGAATTCGAAAAATCCTTCCTAAGAGCTGACACCAATTTACTTCATTATTTGGGCATACTCTTCCACAGGGTACCCAATTCGGGGAGCCCAAATTCATAAATTGTTAATATCCCAAAATTTCTATATATTGAAATATTGCTATGAAAAGTCCTCAAATAGAAATTATTATTTATTGATAACATTTCGTCTCCCTAAATAAACAAATAAACAAACAAAAATAAATAAAACAAAAGAGGAGGTCCCAGGTTCTCTCGTCCTGTATATCGCAAAGGTTCATGGGTAATCCATCCACGTGCTTCATTTTACAGAAGAAGGAGAACGCGTTGGTGAGTTTGTGAAGTTTGTCTTAACTTTTCGCCCCCTTTTTCCCAACTTAGAGACCCCAAAAGCCCTAAATACCTTCGTAGGTTCCAAGTGATGAGAATAATTGCAAAGTTAGACTGCATTTAGTGTAGGATGACTGATAATTTAAGTCTCTGATGGATGAATCTTTGAGTTTAATACTAGTGTAAGCCATGTGCTTTCCAAGTCCAACGGCTTGTTTGTCGAAATTTAATTTTGTCTTCTACTTTCAGGTATTTTGTAGTACGCTACGGTTTTTAAGGTAAGAGTATACCTCAGTGAGATTTGGTAGAGATTAATCTAAGAATTGAACCATAGAAAAATGCATTTTTTTCTGCTTTAAGTTGAAGCAAATTACGCTAATCTTAAGCAGTGGAATGCAATTGTAGCTGGAATGATGAGAGAAAAATAACTTTCGTTCTTCTGAAGGAAGACATGTGGAAATCTTTAAGATCTCTGACCAGCTTAGCAAGAAGTAGTGTTTTTATTTGTTAAAACCAAGTTTTTTGACTATGTGAGCAAATTCTGAGAGCACTATGGAGGGGGGGGGGGGGGGGGGGGGGGGGGGGGTGATTGGGGTGTATTTAAATATGTGCAGAGTCATATGAGGGGAAGGAGACATAAGATGTTATGAGATATGCCTTTGGATATCAAGGGTGGTGTAACAGTAGTATCTAGTTGCCTCTTTGCGGTCTCAGTTTGACTCCAGGACTGGGCATCATATGTCATAGTCAGTCAAAAAATATTACACAATTTATAGAAGGAATACAAGTAGTATGTTAATGAATTCATCAGTTAAAAAATAATTATAATTTGTATTATTACAACACAGCTATTTGATGGCAGCAGTCAATATGTATTTCAAGAAAGAACAATTCTATACTATACCTGGCAAACGGATACCACAGAATTTTCATTTTGTAAGTATTTTCTCAATA